AATGAATCGTTCAACATCTTCATTGTCGGTTAACAAATAAACTTTACCATTTCTCTGATAAGATAGCCTAAATCCACTTAGGGGCTCTAAATTCAATTTATTTGAAACACGTAGCATTAGAGTTTCATAAGTTAACTTTTGTAAAGACAATTTTAGTTGAAGATTCATGGGTAAAGGCATATATTGTAAAACACCATGAACATTATCCCATGACCCTCCAAAACACAAATCTATCCAAACATGATCAACATTAGATGATTTCATGGTTGTAAATTAATTTACTAAACAGACGAGCTGCGAAACTAAAACCTGTTACCGGATTGGGAAGGATGTCGTTGGATATAGGAACGGATGTCGCCGGAGAGAGTGATAGATGGAGATGGAATGAGTTGCGATTTAGGGATTTAGTTTATGATTTGCTGCTGTTGCGTAGTTATATACCCAAAATTTCAGTGTTGTGATTTACAGATTCTCGTTGCGATTTACGGATTATCATTGCGATTTACAGATTCTCATTGCGATTTACTGATTATCGTTGCGATTTACGGATATGCGTTGCGATATACGGATACGCATTGCGATTTACGGATACGCGTTGCGATTTACGGATACACGTTGCGATTTACGGATACGCGTTGCGATTTATGTGTTCGCGTTGCGATTTTCATATTCGCGTTGCGATTCTGTAAAATCGCAATGCGAATTTGTACTATCGCATTGCGATTGTCAAGAATCGCGTTGCGATTTTGGAAACTGGTTTGCGATTCTGGGGATCGCGTTGCGATTTTTATTTCGCGTTGCGATTTTGTTGGTCATTTTGGCAAATCCAAAAAAAGTTGGTTAAAATCGTATATTATAAGGCATTTTTGGTCACTGAGGCGATTTTCTCTTAAAAAAACTCTCTCAAATATTTTCTCTCATATTATTATGGCGAGATTAATGAGGGTTGATCTTCCGCATGTATGCACCTATTGGCGGGATAATCCGGAGGTAATTTTTATTTATTGATTTATTTATTTTTTTTTAATTTTTTCTAATAATTTATTTATTTATTTAATAATTTTGTTTGATTGATTGATTTATTTAGTTATTTAAAATTTATTTATTTATTTTGAATTTATATATTTATTTATTATGAACGTTCGTTGATGTGTTTTATCAACCGTTTCCTGCCCTTTAAGGACGATATTATTCCATATTTTTACGAAGTCAATTTTGATTACGTTGGCACTGTAATTGGTGCTACAAAGTTGTACCCTTCATTGATAAACACATTGCTTGAACGGTGGAGACTGGAGATGCACACGTTTCAATTTTCTTGTGAGGAGGTGACTATTACCCTTGAAGATGTCGCATACCATATTGAGCTGCTTTTATATGGAAATCCTATTACCAGTATGGCTCATAGGGACTGACCAACCTTTTGTCAGGAGGTTCTCGAAATTTCTTTGACAAATGACGATTTGGATGGAGGGAAGATCTACATTAAATTTTTGAACGACAATTTTACGCAGGTCCCCGCCGATGTTGCTTTAGAAATTAAACAGGTAATTTTTTTTAAATATATGTTTATTTATTTTAATTTATTTATTTATAATATTTAAATTTTATTTTTTAGTTTATGTTATTGTAATTTTTGACGATAAAAATTTAATACATTCGCACCACTTTTTTTTATTTTACAGCAATTTGCACGTGCTCATATTTTACAAGTTATTGGGGGATCTTGATGCCTGATAAATCCCAAAAAAAAGTGCATTTGATGTGCTTGAATCATCTATGCGATTTTTAGGCTGCTAAAAATAAGAGTTGGGGATCGATAGTGTTGGCCTCTTTGTTCCGGGAGCTATGTAAAGATGTTGATCTGAATAAACAAGCAATTAGAGGTTGTTTGATGTTGTTACAATCATGGGCTTGGTTTTGAATGTCGTTTTAGCGTCGAATCTTACACAACCGACTCCATTAGAATTTTCACTACTTTAGAGGTAATTACAAATAACCTATGTTTATATATTTATTACTAAATGTTTTTTTAGTTTTACAAATAATTATATTTTACTATATTAATGATAGGTGGATCGTTACACTTAGTCGCTCTCATCTACCAAAAAAGTTTGCGTGATTTTATATTGTTGATTGATAAGATGACAGATGAGGTAATCAATTTTATAATTTTAATTGGTAAATTAAATATCATTTTTTATTCAAGTTTTTTTCTAACATAATTTAAAAATATTTGTGTAGTTCGTGTGGACGTCGTACAGTGACTTTGTTATTAGAGCATGCACTCTGGATGAGATACGTCACAATTCGCATGTTTGGATGTCAATAGTCCCATTGATATTCTATGAGATCATCGAGTTCCATCCTACTGATTGCGTGTTGCAATAATTTGGCGTGTTTATAAACGATTCCGCCACCACCAACAACCTTGGACAATGCCTTACATCACCTAACGCGATAGGGGAAGACAGAGGTTAATTGGGAGGTGTATCATGTGGATTGGGTGATGTATTGGATGTCAAGGTTCGTTAGGCATCCTGTTTATGAACCCATCTTGGCTTATGGTGTTTCAGATGATTACATGTTGTGGTACGAGCAAAATAGGATGCCACATATATACTAATCCAGGAGAAGTGAGCGCGAGAAATTTATAGGCCTCCCTCAAACTGTCCGCCCACACAAAGTCCTCTGATACAATATAGTGCAAGTCGGAGTGGACGAAAATACGCTCAAGCTTCATCATCAGGAATGATGCCACCGACGGAAGGTTTTTTCACTGATGCATTTCGTTCTTATCTGGCTGTCGTTATCCATTCTTATTTCCCTCCTGCTCTAGCTATCCATATTATCCGTCACCTTTGTATGTATCTGTTCAGCCATTGGTAACAGCCTTCAGATCAGTTAAATTTGAGCAGACATCGCCGCAGAGCATGTTTTACACCGGTCTTAGTCCCAGTGGCAGTGGTGGTACTGGCCATATAGACGAGGGTGATCATGGTGGTGGTGATGATGATCAAAGTGATGATGATGCCCCCCAATATATATTGATTCGTAGAAATCCTCATTTTTATGCCCGACCCACTCTCCATCAATCCCACAATGTTTCTCAAAAGGCATCCTCTTCTGATGGCATCCTCTACTTAAGGTATCAAACCCAAAGATGGCACACCTCCACTCGTTCCCTCAAACTTTCTGCGTTTTTTCATTGTACTACTTTTGTTTGGAACAATTTTCAACACGATTATTACACCGCTTAAAATGTCTCGTATGTGTAGATACTAGCCATGTCTATCAAGTCATTTTAGCTTATCCTGTATGCATAAAACTAAGCATTGAATCCATTTTGAACGCGATTTTGTATCTTCTTATTATTGCACAAAACAAGCTTTGGTACCATTTTCAACACGATTTTTAACCTGCATACAATATCTCGTATGTCTTTATATTAGCATCAACTAAAAGATAAATTCCAATACTACCTGAAAAATCTTATAAGTTATAAAAATTTCGAGATTAAATACCCAAACATGCCTTCCCGATCATGCCTATAAGCACTTTTGGTTTACTGGAAAAACTAAATACCCGAGCTATATTGAATACTTTTCGCGATAAATTTTTAGGATGATTCAATATCTCGTGGACTTCGCGCTCTGGAAAACGCAAGGTATTAAATAATTATATTAAATTGGGTAATCTGAAAAGTGCATGGTACCTCGCGTCTTGTGGAATGCGAGACATGTTCACGCGCTGGGTAGGATGCGAGTTAGTCCTACGCTTGCACTTTGGGGTATTATTCTTCAAAAAAAAATTAATAAGGATTTTTAATATAATAACGCCATTGCAATCACGGGCACTCTAAGGGGTGGGGACACTTAAATGAATTTCACTTTAAAATAAAACATTTCAATATAATCCTATGGATTTCGAAATTTTTTTTACCATTCTAAGAAACTTGCTTATTACATTGTCTATGTTCTCACTTGAGGGGTATGTGACACCAAAAGAGTACAGCCTATTTCTCGGACTTTGGAATTATTTTTCATTGTGTAAAAGGAGTACTCCTTTCAACTACTCTTTAATGTATTAGTTTAATGCATTTATTTTCAAAAACCAACTCATATATGGTCCACCCATAAATGTTAAAATTGTAGGGTATGTATAATAATAATATAATGAATAAATGGAGATTTAAGGAGGAAGCTCAGCCTTACTTTCTACTTCACTTGGTCCATTAAAACACGGTACCTTTGCTCATATCCGACTTTAAAGTAGGTAAAGAAGAGAAATGGTATCTTCATTATAGCACATTACTTTATTGAGTTCATCGATTATTAAAAGTTATAAAATGATCTTTTGATTACATAGTACTCTTTTATTGAGACTTTCGATAATTAAAAGTTATAAAATGATCACTGAACTATTTAAATGTTTCAAACTTATCGTTTATCGTAAAAAAGTAATAGTCGTTTGAGCTAGACGTTAACCTGTTGACAAAGATAGGATAAAATCACATTTTAATGATGTCTACTAGATTGACGTTGCTTTCAAGCACTGGCTCGACGACATAATGTTTCAAACACTGACTCGATTACATAATGTAAATGAAGAGCCGATCCACAAAATACAACTTAAACAGTTATATGATCAAATTTTATCATATCACAACTAGTAGATTAACGTCTATCTCAGATGACCGTCATTTTTTAATGGAAAATGACGAGTTTGAAACATATGAATAGTTGAGTGACTATTTTATAACTTTTAATAATTAGAAACTCAAAAAAATAATATATTTTAGTCAAAAGACCGTTTTATAATATTTAATAATCAAAGTACTTAACAAATTTTCACCATGTTGACGCACCAATTTTATACTTTACCCTTTAAAGTAATGTTAGGCAAAGAATTTTTTTTATAAAATTAATGATTAAAATAGTGGGTGGGTGGGCCGGTGGCTGGAGGAGGGTGGTATTGTCCATATAAGAAGAGCTTCATTGCGTATGGGAAGACTCACAATCTCCAAAGAAGAACAAGAGAAAAACAAGTGGTTAACAAGATGGATATGGCAACTGAGGCACCCAAAGCTCCATTGACTCGTGAAAGACGGATTAGATCGGACCTCGAGGAAAAGCTAAACAAACCCTGTAAAGTTTCTTCTTTCTTTTTTCCCTTGTGTTTTCATTTAGCCTAGTTCAAAACTCAATATTGGTGTTTTAAGCTTTGTTTATGGTAGTTCTCCAGCCTAATTTAAAGTTAATTTACAATGATTTTAATCTAAAATATTATCATGTTAAACTTAAAAAATTATATAATTTATAATATTTTCGATCACAACAAAAATTGTTATATTACAACTGTTTTAGAATTTATAATAAAAAATTATACAATACGTAATAATTTTGGTTATAAATTAAAATATTATGTAGAATTTAATATTTCCGGTTTTAATGTAAAATAATACCCTGTCAAACATAAAAGATTAGAGTTTTGGTAATTTTTTTCGATTAAAACCGATTTATCCTGATGTATTTTAGCCCCATCCTTTATCTGAGTAACATATCTATAAACTCTGGGATCAGATTTGGGAAGGGCATCGGCAGCTGTGGACGTGGATCACCCACAAGGAACAGTAGGACGTGACAGTAAAGGATTGAGTGTTCTTCAGCAACATGCTTCCTATTTTGATCAGAACAAAGATGGAATCGTTTATCCCTGGGAAACTTACAGAGGTTTTTTTCCCTCTGACTACAAATTTTATTTTTATTTTTATGTTGTAAACTTATTAGCAAGATTTATGTAAAAACCTGCAGGTTTGAGAAACCTTGGCCTCAGTTTCATTGAAAGCGTTTTTGCTGGAATCATCATCAACATAGGATTGAGTTATTCCACACTCGAAGTAAGTTAACTTGTATTCCTTCATGGAAAATGAATATATATACACACACACATATGACATAGTTGTTAAAATTTCACATATTTGATAGGGATGGCTACCAGAACTGTTTTTTCCCATATATATCGACAGAATCCACAAATGCAAGCATGGCAGTGATTCTGCAACGTATGACACTGAAGGAAGGTAATTGTCACATAACCTTTGAATCATTAAACACAAAGAAAAACAAATATTTTTGACCCTTTTTATGTTACAAATGGTATTTGCAGGTTCATGCCAATGAATTTTGAGAGCATCTTCAGCAAGTATGCTCGAACTGTGCCTGACAAATTATCATTCAACGAAGTGTGGCACATGACTGAGGCGAATCGGAACCAATACGACTTCCTTGGCTGGTATTCTCGAAGACCCTTTTCTTTCGATTTCGTGTTTCCGATTCGATAAATGCTTAAATGTCCTCTGAGATTTTTTCTACTGTTTGCAGGATAATATCAAAGGGCGAATGGTTGCTTTTGTACCGAATTGCAAAGGACTCACAAGGTTATCTGGCAAAAGAAGCTGTAAGGGGATGCTTTGATGGGAGTTTGTTTGATTATATTGCCAATATGAATAAGGCCAAAAGGAATTAAGGTCCACTCATTGGAGCACTGCATGTTGTTTGAAATGTTGTGTTTGAACTAAAGTTGTCCAATATATTTGAACTACGGTTTCATCCTTTTCAACAATAACTGGGCTGAATTATTATGTTTAATTGTCTTGAGATTTCACAATTTCGATCCCGATTCTGATAAAATGTTTGTCTCATATAAACAATTCGTATGTTTATCATAATAAAAATAATAGTAAAATAGACAAACGCAAAAAAATTCAGGAGGGGCGAATTTAATTGAGGGATGAAAACAGATTTTTAATTGAAAAAATATAGAAAAATTTAAAATATATGATGATTTTAGATATAAGGACCGACTAGATCCATCCAATTACTCATTACTTACCGAAGTATGATGTTGATTCTATTTTAACTATCAAGTTAACAATCTCAATGACTTAGTAGCCAATGTTTCAAATTAATGTTAAATTAAATTAGTCATCCCCATTAAAAAAAGTGAATTGTAATGTGTTCTTTGTACTCCGCATAATAATACACTTAGTTTTTAATATTTACATATTTTTATTCTTTTGATTCTAATTTTTAAATAAATCAATAGATTTAACTCTTTACATTTATAAAGTACATCAAATTGGTTTCAATCCAAATAAACATAGGCTTGATATAAAATTAAGTGTCCAAACTATACAAATTTTTCTTATTCAAGTATTTAAATTATTTTTCGATTAATCCATATGAATCGCTATCATTTTAGGTGCACAGACTGCAATAACTAGGTGTGTTTAATGAGTTGAGCAGTTTGAACTCGACTCGGTCAAAATTCGATAAAAGCTCGACTCGAGACTTTAACGAGTTGAGTCAAGAAAAGTCAAACTCAACTTGATAAGTTCGCGAGTAGCTTATTAAATTTTTTTATAATCTTTTACTAGTTATCTTAAAAAATTATTTCATTAAAAATTACTAATTTACTAATAGGTGATAAATGACTAATCTTTAATTTTTTTAATAAAAATACTAAATTATTAATTAATAATTATTATTTTACTACACCAAAAAATTAAACCATAATTATTATTTTAATGTGTTTGTGGATTTTTATTTTGGAGTAGACTTGAATATGTTTCACACACTCTTTTGATAATTTTTTGTTAAATTTATCAATTTACGTTTATATTAAACTTTATATAGTATTAGTAGATTTTACCTATAATTAAAAAATAAGATAAAAATTTTGGTGAGCTTAACGAGTAACGAGACAAGCAACGGGGCAGGTAACGAGCTTAACAAGCATGAGTCAAGCAAAATTTTAACGAGTTTAACGAGCAATGAGTCGAGTTGAACAACAAAATTTTTTAATGAGTTCGAGTCGAACATTACTTAACTCGCGATCGACTCGCTCGATAAACACCCTCTAACAATATCTGTAAAAAAAATCCTATTAAATGATATTATAGCAAGCACAGATGTTACCTGACACGTGTTCCTGTTTCGTTTTCCATTTGGTGATTCTTTTCAAGTATCGTATTATTTTTTTTGACATATTCATATGCTTTTAACGCGTTTATAAATATTTTCCCTTTTAGGCTGTGTTCACCGACAAAGCTTGTATGTGTTGATGGTGTCATTTAACACAAGTGGTTGATTCATAAATTAAAAAAAAAAAGGGTATAAAAATTTTATTACTCACTTTTTAATAAAATAGGTATACAATTTTTTATTGATTTTTTTCTTCAATATATTAAATTATATTTAATCACTTGTCCAAAATAACATGTATGCACTTGACCCCTAGAGGACAATGTGCATCAGCCCCTAATTGACATACAAAATTTTTAAAAAAAATTCCATATAAATTTTACATATAATATAAAAGAAAAAATTACCCCTTTTAAAATAAGTTTTAAGATCCTTTAAGAAAAAATTGACCCCGCATTTTAAAAAATATTTAATAATGAAAATTTTAAAAACCGCTTAAAGAATTCTTCATATGATTTTTAAATGGGTCAACTACATGATTGATCACTTTCATTTAGGTTAGTGACTAAAATATAAGTTTTAAAAGTTTATTGGCTAAAGTGTATACTTTGTAAAAGTTTAGGGACCAAAAATGTAATTTTGAAAAGTTATATATTTTAGCACGTAAATAAAAAGTTTGGACTAAAACAAGAATTTTCATGGTAATCAGATTTTCAATACAAGATTTGTGTTAAAAGCTATAAAGCGATAAAGTTCGATATAGAATTTGGATAGTCAGATCGAATCATAATTTTACCAAAATTTGAAGGATGATAGATAAGGGTTGAAAATATTATTTCCATATTTTAGATCAGAGAAATTTAGTATAGAATAGTGTAATTTTTCATATTTGGCTAACAATGGAAATTTAATGACTAAAATGCAATTTTTGAAAATTGCATGGCCAAAGTATAAAATCAAAGCCAAATTGGTTTATCATTGACTCTGAAATATTTTAATGGAGTATAATGTAATGACATTTAGTAATTATCAAGGTTCATTAATGGTAAAAATGGAATTTCTCATTAATTGAATTTAATATTCAATTATATTGATTTTTAAGCCAAGTGTATGATTAAATCATACTAGATTATTCAAGAGAAAGAATTTTTCAGCTTCATACTCTCTCTTGGCCGAACACACCATAGCTCCCCAAGGTAATTTTAAAAATTTTTGAAGCTATATATTTGATTTTTGGATTAAGCTATTATATAGAGAATTAATCAGCATGAAATTATATATCATTTGGTATAGATATTACATGGTGAACATGCCTATTTCATGAGATTGAGAATTAGGATTTATGTAGGGTTTATGGATTTTGAAGGATTGATGAAACATTGTTATGTTTTTTATGTTGGAGATTAATTCTAAGGCATGTGTGATAATTAAAATGATGTGTAAAGCCTTGTAGTTGATTCGACCATGCTAGGGTTTTAAGGAGAGATTAGATTTTGATGCAATCTGATGTTGTGATGAATAGAATAGCATGATTTTTTTTTTGGTAAAGAAGTTGAATTCATGCTTTAAATTGAACAAAAAATATACCCTAGAGAATATGAAGTATTCAACCTAAGGGGAAAATTTGGGGGCATATTGAAAAATTTCCTATGGTCTAGCATTGATATTAAAAGTGTTCTATGTGATTTGGAGATCAATTTGGATGCTTGAATTAGTAAAAGGGCTATTTAGTAAGTTTTGAGAATTGTGGGGCATTATTACATAAATGTGCAAATTGAGGTGTTCAATGTTAATTTTTAATATTGAAATGCTGGAATTTTAAGTTAAAAAGTTGATTGGAACCAAATTATAAATTTGGTAAATTTTCATGGTGGAATTCAAAAAGTCCTATAAATTAGAGGAATTGTTTTAAAGTTTGAAAATGTGTTAGTATTATTATGAACAAGAAATTATAATGCTGGAAATTTTATTGGTATGCTGATTTTTGAGTTTAAATTTTGAATTGGGATCAAATTGCAAGTTTATGAAGATGGGTAATTGAATTCGAAAATTCTAAGAAAGTTTAGAATAAAATTTGCAAGTTTTTAAATGTTAAAGTATTGATTTGAGTATTTTATTAAGGTGCTGGAAATTTTAGTAATTAATGTGAAATGATCATAATGGTGAAGGGCTATTATGATTTTAATGGAAAAGTTAAGGTGAATTCTAGAAAGAATTCATAATTAATGGTTTGATTGTGCAATTGACAAAAGTTGAAGGGTTGATGATGGAAATAAATGTTTAAGAAATTGAATGAGTATTTTGGGAAGGTTGAAGTTATGATGAAATATGATTTAGTTTTATATCGATTTAAGTATCGGTTTTTTTCTATTGAATTTTATATTTAAACTTAAATTATGTTAGTTTGATACTAACGTATAGTTTGAATATTTTATGTTATTATATGACGTCATCAAACCATGATAAATTTAGTGATCCAAGTAACTCGAAAGGGAAGGAAAAAGTGCGGGATTGAGAAGATTATCGTGAAGAAAATTCGATAGTGAGGCAAAAGTGAGTGCATATTTAAATTGTATTTATGTTATCGAACAAACATTGGCTGCGATAAGCTAGTGACAAAGTTACTATAGTAAGAAATAAATTCTAAATATTATGTGATTTGGAATTCATGCATATATGTTCATCTGGTAAGCTAAAAACATTATGAATTAAGCTAAGGATGTTAATTAAAGAAAGCTGCCTAGAAATTATGATTTGAAAAGTAAGTTTAGAAAATTACCAAATATTATACATATATGATTAGAGGATGATACCTATACCGTGGGATTTGTATATAAGTCTAGTTTCGTTTAAAACAAAATGTTACTGATTTCGAGGAGTATACAAAAATATAAGAATTTTTAACCGATGACAGGTCATAAAATAGAGCAGTAGATTCTGCTTAAAACAATTTTTGTAAGCCAAATTTGAAAATTCACTATAAATTGTACAAGTTGAATTAGAAGAAGTGTATTATGTGGTTAGATTTGTATTTGAGTATACGTTTCAATGGTATAAACTTAATAATTTTTGAGTATGTAAATTAATACATAATAATACTTCTTTGAAGGTAGTGCAAACTGCGAGAATATGAAATTGTGATAAATTATGTAATTAAAGCATTTGAAAGCAAAGGATTAAATCTAAAGCTCAATGAGGCTTATATTTTGAATTATAAATAAAGTGTCAAAGTGAATGCAAATTATTTATTTAATTATTCTTATTTAGGATGATTTGTGATAAGTCAACATCGTATTATTTAAAGTATGTTTTCTATTTTAAATATGGATTATTTCAATTATTTTGTATAAAGTTTTATGTATGATTTAAGGTATGAACTGCCCATGTTCTATTTTGACGATGATGAAGTAAAATGATTATGAATTTGAAATATTGATTATTAAACGAATAAAATATGATCTGAAAGCCATTGTATGTTGCATTGAGAGTCGTAGGTACAATTGGCATGCCATGAGGTGGAGTGATTCTGATTATGATATGGTACATTTGTGTACATTATGTGTAGCACCATTGTTGCAAATGATATGAATGCACTTGGAGTGCATATTCTGATTACGATGATAGCACCGTGAAGTTCTTATTTCTCGCACTCGTCTGACTCACGTACCTTACATTCTCTTACATATACATTAGGCTATAAAAGTAAATGTGAAAATTATGGCAAGTATATGAAAGAAAATAATATGGAAATGAAATGAAAGTTCTGATATATGTATGAATGAAAAAAAAAAGTATGAATTGTTTGTTATATTTAATGTTAATTCACATATTTTTGATAAAATCATGAGATGATGATTTTCAGGTTTTCAAGAGGAAAACAACTTGAATTGCTCGGTTTGAAAGTTTTAATGTTTTTGTTTAAATTACAACTTTATGTTTATAATACTTAATGAAATTTATGTTTTATCTCACTTTAGCTATGTTACTGCCTCACTATGTTTTACTTAGTGCGTGATGATTTTTATGCGTAGGTTCAGATAAAGAAAGTAACGTGAAGTGAGGAGCCTCTTGAGCCTCTTTTGAGAAAATCATACCTAATATCATAATCAGTAAGATATCATATCTTTGACTTATTAGTAGCATATATATTATATCTATTCATTGCTTTATCGGATTTGTTTTCAAATTGTATGTAATAGTAAACTAATGTCGACACCATTTTTCGCCCGGGCGGGAAAAGACCTATACCAACTCGGGGGTTTTCTCTTTGAAAAATCGTTTCGAAATGTGAGGAGTCACCACCAATCATTTAAGGTGAGATTGGAACACCGTAAAAATCGGGTGATTTTAATAAAACATTTTATTTTAATCAAATATCGAGTTTTGGGGTCTGCGAAAATCCAGAAATCAGGTTCATGAGTCAATTACGCGTGGGGAAGGATTAACACACCCACAAGCGCCCAAAAATTGGTACCTAGTTGATTACCCTATATTTAAAATCAGAAATTTTGAGTTCAATCTTTATTTAATTTAAAAATCATTAAGGATGCAAAGTTGAAAAGGGTATTCGTTTATTAAGGCCGATAACATTCACTCCCGAGCGTAAATGCAGAAGATCAACTATTGTGCCTAATAACCGAATATTGCCTTGTTTTTAGAAAAAAATGATGTGGTTTTGAAAAGGATGTCGGCTTATTTAGGGAATTACCAGTAGTCACCCCCTGAGCACGATCGCGGAGGATATACTATTAACTCCTTAATAAGTGAACAGTGCCTTAAGTTTTAAAAACAATGCAATCAAGCAAAATTTTATTTAATCATAATTATACTAAAAATAAATTAAGGCTTTTTTTCTAACATACGGTGTCAAATTATGAAAATTAAAGAACCTAGGGGCTCAAGCTTAAAATGTAGGCCCTAATATTAATCCTATTTAATTTTAATTAATTATTGAATCGAATAACCGAGATGGTCTCTCGAGCGTTTACGCGAGGGCCAACTCGAATTATTCCCTAAATTAAAAGACTAGTTTGAAATCTAAGCTAAAATGGAGGCTCTATTTAACCTATTTAATTATGTCAATATTAAAAGTCTAATCGAAGTTGGGGGACTAAATGTTAAAGATCTAAAAATACCGAGTTCTAAAATACTTAAAAATCTAAAGACCTAAACTGAATATTTTTAAAGTTAAGGGACTAACTTAATTATCAAACTAAAATTTTTAGAAAATATTAATCATTAATGAATTTTAATCGATCAATTGATTCGAGTATTCGGGCGTATAATGCGAAAACTCGACTCGAATTGCCCCTAATTAAACTACGGTGTCATCCTAATTTCTAATTTTATTATAATATTAATCTAAAAAAAACTAAATTTAGAATTAAAAACTATGAAACAAAACAATTAAAAATAAACTTAATTGAAATAATTAAAACAAAAGATAATAAAAACATTAAAAATATAAAATAAACATAAACATAAAATAAAGACCTAATTGCATAAATATAAAATAATAATGACTAAAATACAAGGAAATAAAGTTAGTAATTAGATAAGAAATAAAAAGTGACCAAAATGCAAAAATTAAAATAATAGTAGCTAAATAAAAAAATTAACAGTGATTAAATTAAAATAAAACAACACCAACATGCATAATCAGAATAAAATAAAAAAGAATGACCATAGTATATAAACATGCTGAAGCTGAGGATTTATACGTGATTTACCCATTAATATATGTTAACCAACCAAAAAACCTTAGAATATGGGGACCTAATGTTTAATTAGACCTTAAAATACACAAATGATCCATCGATTTTGGGTGTTACTTTATTTAGTCAAATGACTATTAAAATTTATAAAATGGTCCAATTATAGGATATTACTTTGTTGAGTCATTCAATAATTAAAAGTTATAAAATGGTCTCCTAACTACTCATTGTGTTTAAACTCATCATTTTTATTAAAAAATTGATAATATAATGAATAGTCAAGAGACTATTTGTATACTTTATGATCAATAGTAAAAGACGATTTTAGAATATAATGAACAGTGAAATGACTACTTTATACTTTTTACAATCAAATGACTCAATAAAACAACATATTATAGTTAGATAGTTATTTTGTAAAATTTAATAGTCGAATGACTCAATAAACAATACCCTATAATTAAAAGATCATTTGTATATTTTATCATAATTAAGAGACTATTTGTATATTTTATCTTAAAAATGCACATTGGAATCACGAGGCACTTGAGGGGGGGGGACAGACAGACTTGAATCAACTTTTTTTTTTTTTATTATACACCATAATATGATAGGGACAGATATAACCCCGTCGATTTCGAAATTCTTTTACCATTCTAACAAACTTGCTTGTAACATTGTTTGTGTTCACACTTGAGGGGTTTGGAAAACCAAAAGAGGACAGGCGATTTCTTGGACTTCTTTCGGAATTATTATTTTATGTGAAAGGACTACTCATTCTAACAACTTAATTTATTACCTTAGTACATTCATTTTCAAAAACCTACTTATACATGTTCCACCCGTAAATATATTATTTACAATAATAATAATAATAATAATAATGTAAAACCATTAAATGACTTCAATAATAAATAAAAATGATATTCTTCTTAAAAATTATAAGTCTAAACAGTTATATTTGTGGAGTATTTATACATTGTGAACAGATATTATCATATAATTATTATAGAATAAAAACAAAATAATACTAATATGAGGAAGAAATGGAGATAAAAAGAGGAAGCTCAGCTTTACATTTCTAGGTACGGTTAAAGGAGGCACCAAAGAAGAACAAGATTGTCCTATATAAGGAGAGCTTCATTGTTTATGAGAAAACTCACAGTCTCCAAAGAAGTAAAGCAAAACAAAGATGGATATGGCAACGGTGGCACCCCAAGCTCCATTGACTGCTGAAAGAAGGATTGGAGCTGACCTCGAGGAGAAGTTAACCAAACCCTGTAAAGTTTCTTTCTTTCTTTCTTCCTTGACGTTTTAGCCTTTGTTTGTTTAACATATCTATAAACTCTGGGATCAGATTTGGGAAGGGCATCGGCAGCTGTGGACGTGGATCATCCACAAGGAACAGTAGGACGTGACAGTAAAGGAATGAGTGTTCTTCAGCAACATGCTTCCTTTTTCGACCAAAACAAAGACGGAATCGTTTATCCCTGGGAAACTTACAGAGCTTTGAGAAATCTTGGTCTGGGTCGCTTGGAAAGCTTTTTTGCTGGAATCATCATCAATATAGGGTTGAGTTATTCCACACTCGAGGTAAGTTAACTAGTATGTCCTTGAAAATGAATCTATAACACATATTTAAAAGGGTTATATAACAATTTCACCATTTGATAGGGATGGATACCAGAACTGTTTTTTCCCATATATATCGACAGAATCCACAAATGCAAGCATGGCAGTGATTCTGCATCGTATGACACTGAAGGAAGGTAATTGTCACATAACCTTTGAATCATTAGAATCATAAAAGAAAAGGAATATTTTGACCCTTGTTATGTTATAATTGGGATTCTCAGGTTCATGCCAGTTAACTTTGAGAACATCTTCACCAAGTATGCTCGAACTGTGCCCGACAAATTAACATTCCAAGAAGTGTGGAAGATGACTGAGGCTAATCGGAACCAATACGACTTCCTTGGCTGGTATTCTCGAAGACCCCTTTCTTTCGATTTTGTGTTTTCGATTCGATAAATACTCAACTTGTTCTCTGAGATTTTTTTTTCAACTGTTCTTAGGATAATCTCAAAGGGGGAATGGACGCTTTTGTATCGAATTGCAAAGGATGAAAATGGTTATCTAGCAAAAGAAGCTGTAAGGGGATGCTTTGATGGGAGTTTGTTCGATTATATTACCAAAATGAATAAGGCTAAGAGGAATTAAGGCCCACTCATTGAAGCACTGTGTCACGGACTGTCAGCCCATGACCGATGCTAGCAGGAGTCTAGCCCGTGACAACTGCATGTTGCTTGTTTGAATTATGTGTATTTGAGCTAAAGTTATCCAATGTATTTGAACTATGGTTTCATCCTTTTCAACAATAAATGGATTCGGTTCTATTTTAACTGTAAAGCTAAAGATCTCATTGATTCAGCGACTAATGTTTCAAACTAGTGTCAATTTATTCATCACCAATAAAAATAAATAAACAATAATGTGATATCTTTGCAATTTAACTCTCCATATTTATAAAATACATCAAATTGATTCTAATCCTAAATAAACACACTAATAATTTTCTTCTGCTATATGCTTCATTTAACACATCAATGAAAAGAGTAAAATATTTCTTTCCAAGATCAAATCTCAAATCTTTATTTCAATTTTATAATATATTATATTAATTTATTATTACTGTTATTATTTTTACTTTATTACTTGTTATTAATCATTAGAACTGCTATAACTGTTATATGAACTTGTTACTATTTATATTATTATTATAATTACTTTTAATATATGCACATATACATGTATAAATTAAATTTATAATTATATAGTTATTAAATATTAAATATATATATACCTGTTCAACATTCAGTTTCAACCAAGTTGGAGCAGACCAGCCGACCTCATTCAACCGGGACTGATGGTTCTCACCCAGGCATGTTGCACCACGAGTAGCTTGCTACTTCTGACAACATCCGTTGACTACGAGAGAGAATGCTTTCCATTTTTAGGTTATCAGAGACACCAAAGAATTGTCCCAAAGCGGATAATCCCAGTCCTCACCATTAATTGGGAAGTAGGGTAGGTCCCCGATATTCATCGGAATCCATTCCTTCAGCTTAAGTTATCAGGATATTTTTTTTTACTTTAAATTAATAATATGTTTTTGGATCTTAATCTTGAGGTCGTGAGATGCATTTCATAACTCGGAGGTCTCTTACGAAAGTTACTCTCAACCTGGTGTTGGGGTAGCTTACTATCTTACCTCCCCCTTACCTCATACATATGAAAAAAAGGGACAACCATTTTTTTGGGTCTTAAATTTTAAATCTCTTTTACGATAGTTTGTCGATTCCTTCAAAAATAAATATTTTAATTGTAGCTGTCACTACGTCTATTATTGTCCGAGGACTATAGAAATTAGAAGCCATAAGTTGTTGCACTAATAATCTATAGGGTAAACTACATTCTTGGTCACTAATATTTAGTATAGTTTTCGTTTTCTCCACTGATGTTTGAAAAATTATAAATTGGTCACTAACTTTATAGATTAGTTATAAATTGGTCACTCAACATTAACATATGTTAATAGGCTGACGAAAAACACACCTAACGCATTAAATGCTGACATGGTATGAGTTGAATAGGTTGACTGCCACGTGAATTCCCCAAATATCTTAACGTCACCTCCTCTTTTCCTTTTCTGGTCTTTACTACCCATCCTACCTAGACGATCTTTACTTCAGTAGCATGGAAGGTTTGTTCTTCGATTCTTGCAGCTTAACGTCTTTTTCATATCAATAAGTACAACAAAGAAGCAATTTCAAATTTTAAAACCTGTGTTTTTCCATTGCTTCCAGGATAAGGGATTGTTTAGCTCAGTTGTATGCTAAATATATTACTCCAGATGATAAGCAGGAGCTTGACGAAGCTTTACAACGTGAGACACTGAGGTATATCACTGTGTCATGAAATATGTTTATCTATAAATAGTTATTGAGTGAAAAAGCTCCAACATAGGACATTGTAGCTAGGACGTGTTTACAATTTGGAGATATTATTCACGTCTTATATATTTTGACAGATTCATTTGTCTCTAATGTGTTGGTACTTATTAATCTGAGATAAATATAAGATAATATCTGTTTAAAAATACCTCTCAATCTTTTGACATTGAATACTCATATCTCTGATATTCTCGATGATTGAACCCGGATCCTGAAGGAATAAAAACAATTACTTTACCACGGAGATTACTTATTTAGTGAATATAATTTTCTTTTACGTTGTGTTTTTGCTATACAGTGCATGTGACATGCTTTTATATGAAAATGCCCAAACAATTCAACTTAAATTATATATTCAGTATCCTAATTATTATTTTTATTTTATTTTGGCCACTCAACTATTTTTTTTAAAATCATACTTAATACGTTTTGGTTTATTTTGGTCACTCTTCGTTTAAAAAAAAAAAGTATTGTCGATGTGACTTTTTTTGAATTTTTTCAATGATGATGTGATATTATTTTATGGTGACCACATCAGCATTATCGTTAATACTTTAAAGGTGTGTGACTAAAATAAAATTAAAACGTAAAGTTATATATGATTTTGAAACAAAAAAAAAACAATTATGTGACTAAAATAGAATAAAAATGATAGTTGAGATATTAAATATATAGTTTATCCAACAATTAAATGCAATTCAAAGCATGGTGGGCCGGGGTGGATATTTAACAATAAACACGTTCTGTGTTTTTAGTGGAAAGGTTAATCAAGTATGAACACAGACAATGTTATCATCATGTTTGGTAGAATGATAAAAAAGAATTTATATGAATAAAAATAAATATATATTTTTTAAAGTAATGATTATTTAAAAACATAATTATTGTTTGATTTGTTTTCAATAAAATTCTATTTTTATTTTGAATTTATAAAACGACTTCAGTGGTTAAAAAATGTATTATTTTATTTAGAGGTCTTAAATTCGAATAATTATATTTGTAAGGTACATGCATGTTGTCAATAATTAAAAATATAATAAATATATATTATCTTTTAATCTCTCTAAATTATTTAAAAATAAATAAATACTTATTATGCAATAATATATTTTTAACATCTATTTATCTATCCCTCTATTATAATTAATAGTATTTAAAAATATAACTACTTTATACCTTTTATAACATTGTCTATTCCCTCTACCAAACTTGCTTATAACATTGTCTATTCCCTCTACCAAACTTGCTTATAACATTGTCTGTGTTCACACGGTATGAACACACCGAAAGAGGACAAGAGATTTCTCTGGGCTTATCTTCCGAATTATTATTATTTACCAGTTGGCCATTTGATTTTTAAATTGTATAACTAAATATATAGGTTATATAGTTAGAAATTCCTTTCAACTACCTTTTAATTTATTAATTTGTACATTTATTTTCAACAATATACTTATATATATATAGTGATACATCCATAGATATATTAGATGAACAAATACTCTTTATAAAATTAAAATTTTCTCCGAATAATTATTTATTTTATTAATTATAGTTATTATCAGATTTTATTTATGTTCATCTATATAAAAAATCTTATTTTATAAATATATATATATACACCTTAAAAATATTTTTGGATCGATTTCCTATTTATACCTATAAATATTAAATTTATAGAGAATGTATAATAATAATAATATAAGGAAGAAATGGAGATTTAAAGAGTTCTTACCTTTTTGGTTTACTTGGCCAATGATAGTACTGCACCTTTGCCCATAACTGACTTTAAAGTAGTGGTAGGAAGATAATTTATTTATATAATTAATGACTAGCAATAGTAGGGGCGCCCAGGATATATGCATAATTTTATTTTAGAAGAATAAAATTTTAAGAAGAAATAAATTTATAAAATTTAAAATTATTAAATATATTAATATTATTAATTAAAAGTATAAAAAAATTAAAATACATCCTAATTTAAAATTTTACCAAGTGGACTGCTTTCGTCTGTCCTCTCAGTCCATCCAGTGGAATTGTGTTCCGATGACGACATTGTCTATATAAGGAGAGCTTCATTTCTTGTACAATCTCCAAAGAAGAAGAAGAAAAGCAAGTAAAGTAAAAAAGATGGACAAGGCAACGGTGGCACCCCAAGCTCCATTGACTCGTGAAAGAAGGATTCGATCCGACCTCGAGGAAAAATTGCCCAAACCCTGTAATGTTTCTTTCTTTCCTTACTTCCTTACTTCCTGCCTTCATTTGTGTTTTCAATTAGTTTAGTAAAACACTGTGGTTTTAAGCCATTGTTTGAGTAACATATCTATGAATTGTGGGATCAGATTTGGGAAGGGCAATGGCACCTGTGGACATGGATCATCCACAAGGAACAGCAGGACGTGACAGTAAAGGAATGAGTGTTCTTCAGCAGCATGCTTCCTTTTTCGATCAAAACAAAGATGGAATCGTTTATCCCTGGGAAACTTACAGAGGTTTTTTTTCCTCTTTGTACAAATTTTGTTTCTATTTTTATGTTATAATTTTATTAGGAAAATTTATGTAAAAACCTGCAGGTTTGAGGAACCTTGGTCTCGGTTTCATAGAAAGCGTTTTTGCTGGAATCATCATCAATATAGGGTTGAGTTATTCCACACTCGAAGTAAGTAAACTTGTATTCCCTTGTACAAAATGAATATATAACACATATTTAAAAGGATTGTAATATTATATAACAATTTCATCATTTCATAGGGATGGATACCAGAACTGCTTTTTCCCATATATATCGACAGAATCCACAAATGCAAGCATGGCAGTGATTCTGCAACGTATGACACTGAAGGAAGGTAATTGTCACATAACCTTTGAATCATTAAACACATACAGAAACACAAATATTTTTGACCCTTTTTATGTTACAAATGGTATTTGCAGGTTCATGCCAATGAATTTTGAGAGCATCTTCAGCAAGTATGCTCGAACTGTGCCTGACAAATTATCATTCGAAGAAGTGTGGCACATGACCGAGGCGAATCGGAACCAATACGACTTCCTTGGCTGGTATTTTCGAACACCCTTCTCTTTCAATTCTGTGTTTGCTTAACTTGTTCTCTGAGATTTTTTCTACTGTTTGCAGGATAATCTCAAAGGGCGAATGGCTGCTTCTGTATCGGATTGCAAAGGATTCACAAGGTTATCTAGCAAAAGAAGCTGTAAGGGGATGCTTTGATGGGAGTTTGTTCGATTATATTACTCAAATGAATAAGGCTAAGAGGAATTAAGGTCTGCTGATCGAACCACTGCACGCTGCTTGTTTGAAATGTGTGTTTCAAATAAACTTATCCAATGTATTCGGACTAAGGTTTCATCTTTTTCTGCAATAAATTTACTGTGTTATTTTGTTTTTTTTAATTCGGATTTAGCAATTTCGATCCTGATTCTGATAAAAAAAAAGAATTGTTACGTATAAACAACTCTTATGATGTGATTTTGATAAAAAAAAATTATCTTATGTTTATGATAATAATACTGATATAATGCAAGTTTGTTCTATTATGTTGACAAAATGAATAAGGCTAAAATGAATTAAGGCCCACGGACTGAAGCAGTGCATACTACTTGCTTTGAAATATATGTGCGAAATAAAGTTATCCATTGTATTTGAGTTAAAGTTTCATCATTTTCAACAACAATTTGGCTGAATTATCATGTATAATTTTCTCTTTAGAGTGATTATCGAGTTTTTCTTTCTAAGTATCACTTGAAACGACGATCTAAGTATTGTCGTCTCTCGGGTTTTCATTTCCTTCTTTTTTAATTTTCTCTTTAGAGTGATTATCGAGTTTTTCTTTCGAAGTATCACTTGAAACGACGATCTAAGTATTGTCGTCTCTCGAGTTTTCATTTCCTTTTTTTTTTAATTTTCTTTTGATTCAAATCTAAATAAACATTTTCGCGTTTTGATTTTGTTACTTTCACGTGTTTTTGAAGACTTTTAATTTTTGTTTACTTTTATGACACTGTTATTCTACTTTTATAGCACGATTTTTTTTGTTACTATAGTTTAGCATTTTATGTTGCATTTATTATAGCACACCTCTTGATCAGAAAAGGTCAACGATATTCCATAGTTAAATATCTTTTGCGATAGTATTTCGATGTATTTAAAATTGTTCGTGGAGCAATATGTTAGATTATCTCTCTTAATCTTCTTGCTTTTACTAACATTGTGTTTAGGTTCAACTAGGAAATTTATTATTAGTTACTAAATTTTTGTAGAATATGAAACATGTATTTAAGAGAATATTTTTGATTTTATTTTTCGTCACACCCTTTTAATTTTCATGTTAGAATTATGTTATCGTTATTTTACCATACCTTTTTATTTAATGAAAACCTAATAAAAAACAATTTTATCTCATATTTTAACAAAAATATCCTTGTCGCATATAAACAACTCTTATATTTATCAAAATATCACAATATAAGTTAAATTACTAAAAAGCCACTAAAGTATAAGATCAATCCTATTTTAGCTATCAAATTAAAAATCTTGTTGATTTATTGAATTAGTTTCAAACTAGTATCACTCTAATAATTGCCGGTAAAAGTGGTAATGTGAACTTTTTTTAATTGATATAATAACATATTTAGCCTTTAACATTTATACATTCTACTAATTTAGTCTTAATTTTAAATAAATCAATGAATTAAACCCTATACATTTACAAAGTCTATCAAATTGGTCATAATCCTAAATAAACTAACAAATTAGCCATCCACATTTACAAATATATCAACTTGGTCCTAATCTTAAATATTAAAAATATAAAAAAAGCATAAAATTCAAAAAGAAAAAGTAATCAAGTGTTTTTAGTGGAGGTGTTTGTTGGGGAAATTGGGTAATTTTTCTACACGAAAGTAACTAAAAAAGATCTAAAATGTTAAGATTGAAACTATTAAAATGCACACCGAAAAATCCGTAAAACTATTGAATACTAAGATACAATGAAAAACCCCCAATATTAAACAAATAAAATAAAGAATGAAGAGAGTACACTAGATTTTCAAGGTTCAACGATATATCGTCTATTCCTCGAGCATCACTGCTAGATGATAACTTCAATATTGCTAAAATATTATAAATAGAATTCCTTAAGAATTATATAATATAACAACTAAAGAATATAGAACTAAATGAGATACATGATTGAAATTATTTAATTTGAAAAATAGTTAGGTCTATTTATAGTTGAGCTCCATGAACCAACTTGTAAATAACCATAAAGTTCGTGGACCAAAAATACAATTATAGTATGAGAAATATTATTTTTCTCCGTTTGAGTGAAACCATTTAATTTTCAAATAAATTGGCTTGGATTAAAATTCTTGAGTTTTCGCATTGGATTAAAATTTTACTGTGGTTTATTAATGTAATATTGTTTAAAATAATGGAATATAATTTCGTTCTATAAGAGTCTATTTTTGAGTTTTCGCTCAGGGTCTAGAAAAGATCTGAGACGGCTATGAAAATAATCTTAATAAATATTCAATCATACATTCACCAAGTGCTTCATCTTTCTCAAGTACTAATCCAACATCGAAATGTACCACATACACCATCACATATATCAAGCTCCCAAATGCACTAGGGTATGAAACTTTTATCAAATATTCTTGATCTTCGTTAGTTTTCAAAGATAATTGAGCATTAAATTTCAAATCACAGGAAATTACAGTGTTTATATATATATATATATATATATATATATATATATATATATATATATATATATATCTATATATATATAAGATATATATATATATATATTGTTTTCATTCATGCCAAAACATTATAATATGTTTTTGGATATTGCTTTTTAGTTAACAAAACCTTTTCTCTCTTCCTAACTCTACTTATCTCCATATCACAAATTTTCTTGGTCTCACCTTGATCCTTTATCTTGAACACATTTGATGAAGATTTTAGCTAATGGACCCAATCATTCGGCCTCGAGGAAAACCAAAAACAGTTAGAAACCTAGTATATTTTCTTTTAGAATTTTATGCTCTTTTTGTTTTTAAAATTTTTAAGATTATAATTAAATTGATTGATTTGGTAAATGTGGATGGTTAATTTGTTAGTTTATTTAGGATTAGGACCAATTTGATATAGTTTATAAACATACATAGTTAAATTTATTAATTCATTTAAAATTAGAATAAAATGTGTAAATATTAAAGACTAAATATATTATTATGTAAATTACAAAGATGCCACATTATGTTTCACTTTTTTTTAACTTATGATGACTAAATTGAGACTAATTTAAAACATTAGTTACCAGAACAATGAGATTTTGAATTTAGAAGTTAAAATAACAGGACCAGTTAGAAATTAAACTTATTTTTAATAAAGAATTAATTGGGTTTCAGTTTAATTTATTTAAACTTAAGAGTTAGTTGAGTTAATAAACTCACTTTATTAAATGAATATAAGTTTGTTTAATATTAAAAACTAAGCTTAAGTTGTCGTGCATGTCATCCTATATATAACTATTGTAATGCACATTATGAATATGGAAAATAAAAGAAACCCTTCTTATGAATGTTATTCAATTGTCTTTCCTCTCATTTCTTATTTTGAGAGAATTCATATATTTTTATTTTCTAACAAAGTGGCATTAGAGCTAGATTATGGAGAAATGTTCACTTTCCATTCCATTATCCTCCTTACGAAAGAAACCTATGATAGTTGGTTTATTCGTGTGAAAGCAATTCATGGATCACAAGGTGCTTGGGACATTATTTGTAGCGGGTCCTGAAGATGAAACAATTTTGAATCTAGGTCAAAAGGATATTCTAGAAAAGAATCAAAAGAAAGATCAACATGCTCTTTCGATAATCCATCAATGTTTGGATGACTTGACCTTTGAAAAGATGGCCAATGCAACAACCTCAAAGGAATCTTGAGATACTCTTGTGAAGTCCTTTGAAAGTACTTTGAAGGAGTAGAGAAAGTGAAGAAGATTCGTCCCCAAACATTACAAAGTGAATTTGAAGCACTTCATATGAATAAATCAGAGATCATATTTGATTATTTTTTTAGAGTACAAGTTGTTGTTAACCAGTTGAAGCGGAATGGAGAAGAATGCTCGATATTCGAGTAATTGAAAAGATTCTTCGATCTTTAAATCCAAAATTTGAGCACATTGTTGTTACTATTGAAGAATCCAAGGACCTGGAAACTATGTCCATTGAACAATTAAGTGCTTCACTGCAAGCTCATGAGGAGAGGTTGAACAGAAGTAAGACCGACTATACAAGGTAAGTTTTGCAAGAAAAATTATCATTTCAGTCTAAGGGAGAAACTAGTGAAAATGTGGGCTGGTCCAAAAGGCCATGGAAAAGGACGTGGATGAAGTAAATGACGTTGACAAGGAACAAGGGATGGTCAAAATTCATTCTAGAATAATGAAAAGGGTTAAAACTCATCAAGAGGTCGTGGACATGGACGTGGAAGATGAAATTATGGGAATAAAAGGTATGAAAAATCCCATGAACAATATTACAATTGTAAAAAATTTGGCCACTATGCTTCAGAATGCTGGGTGAGAAATGAAAAAACAAGTGAAAAGGAAAACATGATGGAGACCAAAGAAGACATCGATGAGGCTGCACTGTTGTTATCTCTAAAAATAGAGGACAAAGATGATGATTATTGGTACCTAGATACCGGTTCTAGTAATCATATGTGTGGTGATAAGGAAAAATTTATAACATTAAAAGAGTATTCTAGTGAAATCCCATTTGGAGATTCTTCTAAGATTGAAACCAAATGCAAAGGTACTATCTTAATTTCCCCAAAAACTTATCACAAACATATACTATGATCCAAAATTAAAATGTAATATTTTAAGTTTGGTATAACTCTAAGAAAAAGGCTATGAGATTCAATTAAAAAATCGTAGTCTTACTCTAAGTGACGAAAACACCAGGCCTATTGCAAAAGTTGTTATGACAAGAAATCGAATGTTCTAGGTGAATCTTAAAATTGACATAACTAAATGTTTGAAGGCTTGTGTAGAATATTCTTCTAGGCTATGTCATGTAAGATATGGGTACTTGAATTTTGGTGGTCTCAAGTCTCTTGGAGAGAAGAAAATAGTCAAAGGTCTTCCCCCATCAAACATTTGGAGCAACTTTGTGAAGCTTGTGTCCTTGGAAAGCATGCAAGGAAGAGCTTTCCAAAGCAATATATTCTAAAGCAACAGTGCCACTCCAACTTATCCATGCAGATCTATGCGGACCTATCAAGCCATCATCTCTTGGTAAAAACAATTATTTCTTGCTTTTTACTAATGATTCTAGTAGGAAGTCATGGGTATATTTTCTTAATAAGAATTTTGAAG